AATAAAGACATCAGTAGTTTTCTGTATATTTCTGATCGCTGGAGGTTCATCGATACGTTAAATACGTTCACGCATCAAAAGGAATCCTCTTAGCTTTGATCTTTCATATCATGTCCTCGGAAATTATTGCGTTAACTCCGTTTTTTTCTTCCTATCAAAAGAAAATAAAACTTAATAAATAAATGCAAATCAAATACCAGTATTACCTTTACTGACAGTATGAGTTATTATTAGAAAATACTTGTAGTTTGTAGTATTTGAAGTAGATTTTTATACTACAATAAAACCTGTGCTGAAGACTTCATTTCTCCCTTGTTTCTTGTGGGTGTGGTTTTCATATAAACCATATCTGTTTTCCGCTCCATGTTTTTACATTTATTAGTTTTGTGTGTGAAATAAAGCGAAGCTGCAGTAATGATGGAGTCAGACGTGTTCTCATCACAGTGTTTGAACGAGGTCAGCTGATCAGTCTTCAGCACATATGACTCTGACTGTATGAGCGTCTTTATTCTGCCTCCTCCCTCCCTCTCATTTCTAATTTTAATGTACTCCCTGTCATTAGCCATGTCCCACATATGTCTACCTGTCGACTTCTTCTTCTGTTTTTTTTCTTTCTTTTTTGACACAACTGGGTTGGTGTCATCTTACATTTACTCTGTCAGTCTGTCCTCCAGTCGGTGAGTCCCGTGGCCTTTTGCTAGACGGTGATCAAGCGAGTTATTTTTGGTGCTGATTAGTCTTCGGAGGAATCGCTTTCATCACTGGTGTGTGAGGTGTGAGTGTAGTTTTCATGGTTCAGCGATGCGAGCATATGGAAATCTCCCCTGAGACGAGTGTGTGTGTGTGTGTGTGTGTGTGTGTGTGTGTGTGTGTGTGTGTGTGTGTGTGTGTGTGTCACTGCCTTTGAGCCTGTTTTTCTATGTGTGTACTCTTGAGCATAACTCTTAGAGTATGCAGACTGTACCTGAACATTTTTGGTTCAAGAAAAACCAGCACCCATCAATCAATCAATCAATCAATCAATCAATCAGTAAGTTACTTGTCTATTATTCAGTCTATATATATTTATATGTCTTCAAAACCATTTGTGATTGTAGTTGAGATCTGAGAAGATTATTGTTGATATCAACAGTAAAAATCAAGAAGATCGAGAACAGAGTGTAACTCAATATCTTTAATTTCAGTTTCTAAATCTGTTGGAGCTTGAGGAAGATGAAGGGAGATGAAGGTTCATGTGCAGGAGTTGATTCAACAAAACGACCACAGGACAGGACGCATCAGGACATGATGAGACACGTAAAGACACGTCAACACATAACATGTCACGAGACGATAAGACAAGATAAACCTGTACTGACGCCCTGTTGACGAAGTTCAATTTGACAAAGCAGCACAAATGGGAAATCTAGTAAGAAATAAATTTGATTGAAAATATGAATATTATATTAAATACCATAAAGACTTATTTTGTACATTTTAACAACTTGATAACTTTGTTTTTGAAAGAACTGTCAGAGTTTCTGCAGCAAACAAACAAACAGACAAACAAACAAACAAACAAACAGACAAACCAACAAATGTACAGAGGTGAAAACATCCAGTCGCTGTTGCAGGTCACAGACGTTTCCTGAATGGGGAATCACCAACTCCTAAAAATATCTTCTCTGCTGGTTGTGTTTTCACATTCCTTGTAACACACACACACACACACACACACACA